AACACCCTGAAGTGCCAAATCAACTCCGTCTTGAACCAGAATGGCCTCCATCTTGAGTTGCCACATGTTGAAGTTGACATTTCTGTCGAATTTCTCGACAACAATCTTTGTTATTGTCATCGTTGCCAAAAGATCCCAGAACCAGGCTCTGATACCAGTTTGTTAGAGCTAGCCCCAGGATATTTACCACAAGGTAATTTTGGCAACACAACAAAGACAATAAAGCGGAAAGAATAAAAGCGACAAGAACACCAGAACACCAGATATACGTGGTTTGGTCAATTGACCTACATCCACGGACGAAGGAGGAGCAAATCACTACTATAAAAGAGGGACACTTACAAATGCCTTAGGAAGATGTTCCTAGGCCATAAAACACCTTCAGCTTCCTAAACAAGAAGACTTCAAACCATAAGCAGGTTTTCTTGTGATGCCTATTGTACTTCTTGTGGTGTCTCTTGTGCTGCCTGTGGTACATCTGACTTCAAAGCCCAGGCCCTTATTTATAGTTCCAAGATGAGACAACAAGTCTAATTTTCCCGATGTGGGACTATGGGACTTGCCAAACTAACACTAAGCAATCCGCAAACTCGAACATGCAATAGATTAGTTCTCAATGGTGTATTTGAGGCCTCTCTTCTGTTCCAGAACATTGCATTAATTCTCAACGGTGTATTTGGGGTCTCTCTACTCTTCCAAAACTTGTAAATTGACTGTATATCTAATTTTAGCTCTATATTAGAAATCGACGAGGAAAGTTAATCCTTCTTATAGATATGGTTCATTTTGTTATCTTCTTAGTAACTAATACACCTTAATTGATTTTAAAATTTTAATGACACTAGAGGATTGTTGAATCTTAGATTTTGATGATGAAATTAATTAATAAGTTTATGATCTAACGAGCATTTGAATAACACACGAGAAATTTTGATTATGGATTTGAATCATTAAAGCATAATTATATGTTGGGCCGGAGAGCATCATGTCAGAGATTGGATGTCGAGCATGAGGATTGGTCGACGTTCCGGAGGATGGAATTCATGCCATGAGTTCAAGTATCGGGCCGAAAGGATCGGGTATTACGCTAAGAAGACTGGATGCTACATGAGGTTAACATGCCGATGGATCAAGCAATACGCTGAAGGAAAGGATGATGCACTAAAGGTTCAGACAAAGTGCCGGATGAACAAGATGACATGCTGAACAATATAGGCTTCATGATTATAGTTGTTGAGTCTTGATCGAAGTAGTTTAAGTATCTAATTGAGTTGATTTTGGGTGTAGCCATGCCAACTTGATTAGGAGCCCGTTGGGCCAGAATTAGGGTTGAATTAGGCTTCTTTGAAGGCCAATTCAATGACCTGAGGTTGGGTCAAGTGATGGAACCACTTGTGAGCTGGAAAGTATGAAATGCATTTTTTCAAAAAAACCTGACGGTGGTACCGCCCAATGTCAAGAGTTGATACCACTAGAAGATAGTCTCCCACACTATGTTAAGTAGTGGTACCCCCAGTGCTTAGGGTGGCAAGCGATGGTATCACCCAATATAGGCGGTGGTGTTGGGAACAGGGGTCGATACTAAGAGGGGGGGTAAATCAGTGCAGTAATAAAATAATGTCGGTTTAAAACTTCATTTCGATTAAATCCATTTCCGATGAAAAATTATTTCATAAAGGTAATAACTTTGAAAGCATACGTTTATGAAGTGAATGCAATAGACAAGTAAAGATTCAGTTTGCAGTATATAAATGGCAAGAAGTAAATGCAAACCAGAGAACACGCT